GACGCGGGGCTCCCCGTGTACGCCCACATCCGTCCGAGGGACGTGGAGGCCATCCCCAGAGCCAGCACCAACCCCGGCAACCGCAAGGTGCGGGCCCTGGCCTTCAGCGGCAAGAACCAGGAGCTGGGAGCCGTGTCCCTGGACGGCTACTTCCACCTGTGGAAAGCCCGGAGCACCCTGTCCAGGCTGCTGTCCATCAGGCTGCCTTACTGCCGAGAGAACGTGTGCCTGACCTACTGTGATGAGTTGTCCCTGTACGCGGTGGGCTCCCAGTCCCACGTCTCCTTCCTGGATCCGCGGCAGCGCCAGCAGAACATCCGGCCCCTGTGCTCCCGAGAGGGCGGCACGGGTGTGCGCTCGCTGAGCTTCTACCAGCACATCATCACCGTGGGCACGGGCCACGGCTCCCTGCTCTTCTACGACATCCGTGCCCAGAAGTTCCTGGAGGAGAGGGCCTCGGCCAGCCCGCCCTCTTCTCCAGGGCTCGCAGGGAGGAAGCTCAAGCTCACGTGTGGCAGAGGCTGGCTCAACCACGACGACCTGTGGGTGAACTACTTCGGTGGCATCGGCGAGTTCCCCAACGCGCTGTACACCCACTGCTACAACTGGCCCGAGATGAAGCTCTTCGTCGCGGGGGGGCCTCTCCCTTCTGGCCTCCACGGGAACTATGCAGGCCTCTGGAGCTGAGGATGGTCGCCCGCCGTGTCCTCAAAGTGCCCAGGCCCCCCTTACTTTCCCCTTTCACTCTGTGCGTGTGCTTTTGACTCTGTGTGGCTTTTCTCTTCCAGGTGGAAAGTGCCCAGCTTACCTCTACCTCTGCTTAGTATATTAGGCAGAGAGAGAGAAAAAGCAGAAGTGGTCTCTTGGGCAGTCACAACTTGTCTTTAAGATTTTTCTGCATCTCCTCCAACACCACCATCCTGTTTGCGTGGTGGTCAAAAATTTTTGGCTAATCCTTAATTGTGTTATCTCTTTGAGTGATTCACATTTGCTCATTCTCTGGGCTGATGCAGTCATGGTTCCAACTACGATTCAGTACTTTAGGTTTATCAATATTTCATTAGTTTGTTCAGGTCTTTCACACAATTCGGATGTATTGTATTTCTGGAAAATGTGTGCTAAAAGTGTCTTTGGGGTTGATCTGAGGAACTATCCACCATATAACAGAGCACATTTATAGCCCTGCTCCAATTAGAAAATGCTTTTCAAGTTCTAGATTGCCACCATTTGGGCACACATTTCATTTGGATGTTGGAAACTCAGTGTTTGTTGTTTGTATATTGTTGGTGTATAAAATACTTTAAAATGTGTTCTCTTGGTTGAGAAATCTTACAATGATATTCATCCTATTAATCACAGTTTTGATTATTTAGTAAAAACTTAGTATCAGTACCCCAAGACGTTCAGCCTTCTTGTTTAAATCTGCTATGTTATGGCCTGCTTTCTTGAGTAGCATTTATGCTACAGATTTTCAGAGCTAACCAAAACTGGCCTATATCTGGCAGGATAATCAAGGAGGTACTTTTTGGAGTAAACATTTCTTTACAGATCAGGTAACACTATCCAGGCAGCCATTTACAGAGAAAGGCTGACTGCTGTGCTCAATGTAGGTGTTGTTGACAATTTTTTATTGTATACATGGGTAAGTCTTTTATCTGGATTGAGTATGTGATGTACCGCAGAAAAAATAAAACATGTTCAGCATTTTAGCAATTAAGTGCTAGGCTAAAGTTTTTGAGTGCTTAAATACACACTTTATTTTTTAATTAATTGTCCTTATAGGAATATGTTTATCAAAGTCAAAATCTTCCAGGAGAGAAACTGAAGCTGAAATACTACTCTGTACATTTGCTTTTGAAAAGCAAACTTATGCTATTACCAGGGGTTAAAAGAGTCAATAACATCTTGAATACTTTATCTAAATATACTTGCTATAGGTTAGGAGAGTTAGGTGTCTTTTCCTTTTTTTAAGACGATTTAACAAACTTTTTCATTCACACAAACAAACATATTGTGCTTATGACTACCTACTCACATATCACATATCACTGTGTGTGTATGTATAGATGTTGCTTCCCATGTGATACCATTTTACATGTGCAGATATTTCAAATATTTTAAACTACATCTATCAAGACTTCCCACTTGGTCTTTTGTTTTTATTTTAATTTAAATTAAATAATATGTGCACATGACCCCCCAAATCATACTTTACAAAAGGTGTACAGTGAAAAGTCTTATACGTCAAGATCCCTGACCTCCTGCCCGTTGGTCACAAACAGTACATCTTGTGTCTGATCCATCTGGAGATAGCCTACACATGTATAAGCATATCTGTATGTGCGTATGCAATTGTTATACAAATGATAGCACATGCTTTGCTTTACATATTTGTGCCTTTTTTAATCACAAAATCTTAAAGATCGTTTCTCATACATACCTACCTAATCCATTCTAATTGTATAGTATTCCCTAAAATATGGCTGGGACATATTTTATTCCTTCATTACACTTTTGATGAGCATTTATGTTGGTTCTTATTTTCTCCTAGTATAAAGTATTCTGCAGTGATTACTTAGTTGCAAACATCTTTGTGCACATATATGACTATATCTGCAGAATAAATTCCTAGAAATGGAATTGCTTGGTCAATTTTATATTTAATAGCCATTGCCAAAGTATCCTCCATAGAGGTCCTACCAGCTTAACCTCCCATGAATAGTGTATGCACGCCTGCTTCACCACACTCTTTCCAACAGTGTGCCATCAAATTCTGTGCTGTTTGCCAATCGGATATCCACTTGATCTTGATCATTTCTTTCTAAGCCACCGTGGCTGAGTTAATTAGATTTGTGGTCAGAGTATCAAGTAGGTTCTAAAACAAAGATCAAGAATACAAGGAAATGAGAGCAAGCAATAAAAAGACTGTCAAACCAAAGGCAGAGAACACCTACAGTTCAGGTTCAGACGTCTGCAGATGGACTACAAAGGACTACATTTCTGAGATACTTAGCTGCACCTAGTAGGGCTTCCTGGTTCACTGCACCCTGGTTTCACTTGTATTCAATGCATAACATGTTACTAAAGAAAATCTGCGAAGGAGACGATGCGGGCCTGCACTAGGATATCTGAGCTAAGTGTGGAGAGGGAGGAAGTTATTAGAAAAATGAAAGGAAAATAAAATGAACACGCAGTATTTGGTATTTCATGTGAAGGATGAAGAAACCTTGAGAATTTAGGTGGACCCTAAGGCTCTGGCTTGAATGTCGATGAACAGTGGCAACAATGAATATTGCGAATATAGGCATAGAGGATACACGTAGGGGGGTGAGCGTCTTGACTGGGGACATGGTGAATTTGAGGTGCCTGTGTGGCATCAGGAGAACAGACCCAGTGAAGAACTGGTTGTATATGCCAGAATGAGATTTCTCACTGCTGGGAAGGTGAGTGATGGGAAACACTGGGAAACTCACCCTTTCAGGGGCAAGCAGAATAAAAAAGCACCCCCCCCAAAAAAAAAGGTGGGGGTGAAAAAAATAGAAGAGGTTTGTGTTACCCAAATGCCATGACTTCATCAGCATGAGACAACAAAATATTTCTAATGACTTTATAATAACTTTTGAGTCTCTACCTCAAGTCACAAAGGGTGGTTTTTCTCCCAGATCTCACACTGGCCCAATAATAAGCTTTTTCACTGGTCAAGTGCTGGTACCTTCTTGGAGAGTGGAAAGTCAGAATCTAGTCACAAAGCAGGACGTCACAGTGTGAGTTCTTGCCTCAGTGCCACTTTTCCCAGGCTACTAAAGGACAAAACGGGTGTCCAGATGAGGATGTCCCTTCCCTTGGCATCACAGTCACAAATACAAAGAATTAAAAGTAAGCAAAAAGAAATAATCATGGGCAAAGATTTCCTCCTTAGGCAGGTAACTAAATTCTGAGTGAAAAAATTATCAGAAGATAAAAATAACTAAATTTTTTCCAAGAAGAAATAAACAAGAACAGAGCATTTGCCCTAGAAAACAGTGAATGTTGTTTTGTTTATTAGCCTTCCCTTTCTGCCAAGAAAATCACACACATAAACGATCATAAACATATCATAGGCATGCTAAGCCTGATGGTCTCACAAATAAATTATTTCACATTGTCAAGGAGTATTTCATTTTGAGCCACTTCAGAGCACAAAGAGAGAAGTTTACTCTTTTCTATATGAGGCCAGCATATTAATAATAAACCTGACTAAAACTGCACAAAATGAAAGACTAGTTTTACATAGATAGATAGATAAATACAACGTATCCTTTAAAAACACTGAATATAATCCATCAGCGTATTAAAAGGAAACCATACCATGGCAAAGTGAAGCTAGTTCCTTAAATGCAAAGAGTGTTCACTATTGAGGAATCTATTATTTCAATGTTTCATATTAACAGGTCAAATGAGAAGACATATTCTCATGTTAATAAATTCTAATAAAGAATTTAACAAAATCCTACTACAATTCTGATAAAATCCTTAGTAAAGTATGAGTAAATATAGTCTTCATATCATTGAGTGTGTGTGTGTTATGTGTCAAACCTGAACCAAAATCCTCTATAATGGTATAAAATTAGATAGAATTAAATAAAGGAATTCTATTCGAATTCCTCTGGAATTCTCATAGAGGAATTCCTATGAAAATAAGGAACAAAACAAGGATTCTAAAATATCACCACCAGTATTTAATATTATTTAAAAATTCTGGATACAGCAGTTTAAAAGGATAAGAAAATAAAAGGTGTAACTCTTGGAAGAGAAAGAAGTTATAATTATTTGCAGATGATATGACTATTTAAAAAATAGAAATCCAAAAGAGCAAACTGAAAAATATGTTAGGAACAATTAAACAATTTACTAAGATGTTCAGCTTTGAAATTAATATATAAAAAAATCAATACTTTCCTATTTTCATGTATTTACTCATACAGCAAATATTTCTCTAGCACTTACCATATATGGGCACTGTGCCAGGTGCTAAGAGATACTATGGTGAACAAGACAAGCAAGCCATGCCCTGATGAGGCCTGCAGTCCATTGAGAAGGAGAGTCAATAAACATATAAACTAGTAAATGTGTAGTATGTCAGATGGTTATCAATGCTAATAGATAAATCATAGTAAAAGAGAATAGGGGATAGGAATTCCAGGGGAGATGAAATTATATTTGTTATTGAGATATAATTGACATATAACATATTAGTTTCAGGTGTAAAATATAATAATTTGATATATGTATATATTGCAAAGTGATCACCACAGTAAGTCTAGTTAACATGCAATATTAATAATATTTTTTCTTGTGATGAGAACCTTTAAGGTTTATTCTCTTAGCAACTTTCAAATATGTAATACAGTATTACTAACTATAGTCACCATGCTGTCCATTATAGTCCCAGGACTTATTTATTTTGTAAGTGAAGTTTGTACCTTTTGACCCCTTTCACCCATTTTGCCCACCCCACCCACCACCTCTGGCAGCCACCAATCTGTTCTCTGTATCTGAGTTCATTTTTTTTTTCAGATTCCACATTTAAGTAAGGTTATATGTTATGTGTCTTTCTCTATCTGACTTATTTTACTCAGCATAATGCCCTCAAGGTCCATCAATGTTGTCACAAATGACAGGATTTCCTTCTTTTTTATGGCTGAGTAATATTCCATGCACACATGCATGTGTCTGTGTGTACTTCACATTTTCTTTATCCAGTCATCCATGGATGGACACTTAGGTTGTTTCAATGTTTTGCCTATTGTAAATAGTGCTGCAGCATATGTGGGGGTGCAGATATCTTTTCAAGTTACTGTTTTCATTTTCATTGGAAGAATATCCAGAATTGGAATTTCTGGATCATGTGGTAGTTCCATTTTTAATTTTTAAAGGAACTTCCATAGTGTTTTCAACAGCAGCTGCACCAATTTACATTCCCTTCAACAGTGCACAAGGGTTTCCTTTTCTCCACATCCTCACCAACACTTGTTATTTCTTGTCTTTTTGATAACAGCTATTCTAGCAAGTGTAACGTGATACCTTATACCTTATTGTGGTTTTGATTTGCATTTACCTGATGACTAGTGATTTTGAGATGATGCTTAGTGATTAGTGATGTTTCATGTACCTGTTGGTCATCTGTATGTCTTCTTCAGAAAAATGTCTGTTCAGAACCTCTGGAAAAAGAATGTGACAATGAATATATGTATGTTCATGTATAACTGAAAAATTGCACTCTACACTGGAAATTAACACAACATTATAAAATGACTATAATTCAATAAAAAAAGTAAAAAAATAAATAAAAGGAAAAAAAGAACCTCTGCCCATTTTTTAATTGGATTTTTTTGCTATCGAATTATATGAGTTCTTTATATATTTTGGATATTAACCCCTTATGAGATATATGATTTGCAAATATTTTCTCCCTTTCTGTTGGACCGTGCCAGGTATGTTAGAAGAGCAGAAGGGAGACAAGTGTGGTTGAAGCAGAGTGTGTGAAAAAAGGAGTAGGGTCAGTGAGGTACCGGGGAACAACATCTCGCAGAGATCTGCAAACAATTAAAGAAACCTGGACTTTAGTCTGAATGAGTTGAAAAGCCAGGGAGGGTTTTGAACACAGAATTTATGCTTTAAAAGGAAACCTGGCTGCTGTGTAGATAATATACTGGGTAAAAGAGAAGGTAAAAGTGGGTAAAAGAGAAGGAGGGAAATCAGTTAGTAGGTAATTGCAATGATCCAGATCGAAGGTGATGTTGGCTAGATGCAAAACTAGTCCGTTTGAAAATTCATTGGAGCTTCTGGTTCAAAATGACAGAACCTCCTTCTAAGGATCTTATAGAAGTGACAGTAAAGACTATTTAAATTGAATAATTCCGCATTAGTGCTATAAAAAGAAAGAGTACCATTATCAGATCAGATATTTTGACAATTTTCTGAAGAACAAACAGAAAATAGTAGAAAATAGAAAGCTTTAACAAATAAAGATGAGCAGTTACCACAAGCGTCTATGAAATATAGATATATAACTAAATATAACTATGAGAATGCTGCCATTTTGATGGGAGCCAGTCTTCACAGAGAATCTCTCCCAAAGGTTCCAAGCCATACTCTGGCATACATCAACAGCAAGAGTGATTTTTGAAATGGCAAGCACAGTTGGAGGACTGTCTATGGATGGGCTTGGCTAGTTGGACTCTCCTCCAAATAATGGGATACTAGACAGTTATTAAAATTCTGGACTTGCTCTTTATCTACTGACATGGAGAGGTAGCCTTGATAAGGTCAGGTGAAATAAATTGCAAACCAAAGGCATATTGGAATCCCATTTTTGTTTAAAAATAGGAGGAGGAAGATGAGAGGACTAAACATACAGTACATATAAGAATATTTACAAAAGGGTTGACTGTCTTTAAGAGATAGTATAATAGGGGGCTTTCTTCTTATTTTAGTAATTTATGTAATGTTTGAACAGTGTGTACTGACATCTTTTCTTTGGTAAACATAGGGGAAAAAAGCAGTGAAAATACATTTTCAAAGGCCAGGTTGGGGTGGGGAAGGAGAAGAAGGAAATGATGGATGGTGCT